ACACATATTATTTCCACACCTCCTCCCTGCTTCTCATACTTTTCTGGTTCCCTTCTCTTCAACTTCTCTCTTCTCTACTCTGCATCCCTCAGTAACTAGTTTCACACATGAAACCCACCTCCTGTATATTAGATCCCGTTCCCACCACTATTTCAATCCTGTTTCTCTTCTCTCTGTCCGGCTGTCCTCAATGAATCCATGAGTACCAACGATCCTCAAAACTGCAGCCATCACCCCTGTGCCAAAAAAGCCTAACATGGCCCCGGACAACCTAAACAATTGTCACCCCATCTCCAACTTACCCTTTCTTGCAAAAACTCTAGAATGTGGTGTCATATTTCAATTACATAAACACCTCATTGTAAATAACCTTTTCCAGTCCCTCCAATCTGGCTTCTGTCAACTTCACAGCACAGAAACTGCCCTGGTCAAAGTCACTAACGATCTTCTAACGGCTTCTGATTCTCGTTCTCTTTCTGTCCTCATTCTTACTGAACTCAGTGCTGCTTTTGACACTGTTGACCATGACATCTTACTTTCTCGTCTTGAGACTGTGTTTGGAGTTTCTGACACTGCTCTCAAATGGTTCAAGTCTTACCTCACTGATCCCTGTCACTTTGTCTCTCTTGGTGGATATAGGTCTGAAATTGGTTTTGTTAAGTCTGGTGTTCCTCTGGGTTCGATACTGGGTCCCCTACTTTTCAGCATTTGCATGTTTCCACTTGGTCAGCTTTTAAGATCACATGGTCTCAACTAACATCTGATGATACTCAAATGTACATTCATGCCAAACCTGACACTGATGTGATTGTCTCTATTCTATCTATTTGCATCTCTGACATAAACTTGGATGACTCAAAATTTCCTTCATCTAATGTGACAAGACTGGAGTCATGCTTATTAGCAACCCTCATCAACTTCGTAAAGCCAGTCCTGTAATCCTATCTGTGGATGGTTCTGTACTTGAGCTTCAGTTTAAATTGTAAAACCTTGGGGTGATATTTAATTCAAGCATAACATTCCACCAACATGTGCAGCATATTGTCAAAACATCTTTCATTCACCTCAAAAACATAGCTAGACTACACCCTATGCTATCACTAACTGTG